TCACCATGCTTGCCATGTTGCTGCTGTGGACCCTGCCTATGAAATAGGGCATTCCTGGTTGATGACACGAACATCAAGTTCCGCCCCCCCCCCGCAATAGCGATTTCGCGAAGAGATGGATGCCAGAAATAGCCCCATCCCAAAAGTGTAAGGAAGATCGATATTACAACCGTTCCAAGTATCTACTTTACTATTTTTTGTTATAGTCCAGTCTCAGAAGCAGAACATTGTGCATGTAATGTATTATGCGTCCATATATGAGGATATCGAAAGAAATTTCGATGATATTGTGCTCATAGTCATTTGAAGGCGAATTTGCAGTGATATTCAGAGATTCTTTATATTTCAAACCCTTGCGGATTGGGTCATGCGGATAGTAGATGGGTCTTACAAATTTTTTAAAGTCGTGATGTCTGTTCGTTCCAAAGTGTTTTAAAACTCGTGAAATGCTTGATAGCTATGCGCAGTAACCTTAATATTGCTCCAGATTATTTAGAGCACCGTTTAAACGGGTCACTATTCCGTCACATCTACTTACGGTGCTGAATGCGCTTCGCTTTATTTTGTGCTCGAAAGGAATGCCCTAATCTTTTCAGCAGCCGGTACTCATTGTGCACTTTCGAAATCTTTAAAAGCATCTGTTCATACGCCTTTGTATGTTAATGAGCACTTAACTCTTTCAGTTACGTCTGATCGCTATTAGTATAAGATCACCCCGTCACATCGGTATCCTACACCGTAAATTCCGGCACCAATGGAGCTAAGGATTTATCAGCATTCCGCCTTGTTCTAATTCTAGTTGGTTTATAGGTCCAGTCTAAACCTGATCGGTTCAAAATTGCGGTATTATTTGAATGTTCTTTTGAATTTAAGGCCAAATGTAAAATTATTTTTAAAATTAAATATTGAATTCGAAAACATTAGCCCCGTTCTCATATATGAATGTGTATTGTTCTAAATAATACGAAATGAACTTTGTGACAGAAATGTTCCTAAGGTGTCATCCATCCCATTGCTACATTGGTATGCTTTTACCAGTAAATATCAATTGGATAATGTATTATTGATTTTTGCCTTTGCAGTCTGCTTCAGTAGATATTGGTAATCGGGGCTAGTTTTCTCCTGGTCTGAACCTAGTCCGAGTTGCAGTTTCAACATTTGTCAAGAAACTAGTTGGCATTTTCGAATCTATTTAAAAATTCAGTTGGACTGGACACGCGGATCTACCAAGGCATAGTGGAATGGCACTTACGAGACCTAAAGAGATGAAGAACAAAAACTACATCATCACTGGTAGGCTGCACGTAGAGATGCGAAACTATAAATATGGAAGAATTGCCTACGCTAGGCTTTCTGTGTAATCGAGCTGTATGGAAATATTTGTTTGACGTGACAAATCGTGAGTGCTATCAGTTTTTTGATTTTTAAATTTTAACTTAATTTCATTTGTTTTTCTCTGTTGCAGCGGCTGTTTGAAAGCGAGCACGAAGACTCGGAAACTCGTTACACCCGCTGTCATGTTCCAGCCAATTTTGCCCATGAGAATTTTTGATCAGTATTGGTATTCGACCACAAAGAGGTGATGGACACCGTGAATTTCGTTGCCGGCCTGGCTGGCGGCTTCGCAAGCACGATTGTTGTTCACCCGCTAGATTTGCTGAAAATACGTTCCGCAGGTGGGTACGTTTTATGTACCTTCGCGTTTTGTTCGATTGCCATTCCTTACACGCGATTCTTTTTCGATTCTGAAGTTATAAGTAGCCTAGGCAAATGGTAAGCTGTGTCCTTCTTTATGTTTATTTCCATAAACATATCGCTTCGTTTAAGCAAAGCGCAGACTGTGAAGAATGAATAAATAAGCTTACTGCTTGAATCGGATCGTCAAGGAATTTCAGTTTTCAGCAGAAAAGATATGAACAAAAATAGTAAATTAATATACATGTCACAAACGGAATTTAACTTGCACGTTTCCAGCTACGAAAATTATTCAGTGAACAAACAACGCATCATGAAGCGAAGTTAATATGGACAAACTGGAAAAAACTGTCGCATTGAGCAAATTCAAATATTGTTCATTTTTGTTTCATGTTAGTGGGACTTCGTAGAATGCGCGGTGATGATGACATCGTAAGTCTTTGATGCAGCGCCGTTCTGGCAAAAACCTACGTACCTAGATCTAATACTTTAGGATTATTACGACACTCTGCCATGTAAAATATGAGTGCTATTCTCAGGATATTTTTGCCCGTGCGAGTGCTTGAGGAACTGCTGAATCAAAGGTTACCTCAGTAGAGCATTGTTTGATAGGCCACTTCTTCTACGGACTAGTCTCAGTGATCGTTCTTTGATCGATGAATAATCTGCTAAAGCTAAATCACTGTCCTTCTGGGACTCCCTTATGTTGTGTTTATATTTGTAAGGTTGAAAACACGTTTTCAGATGCAGGAAGGGTGTCATTCACGGGTTTTTCTCTTCAGAGTTTCTCACCATGTGCTTTACTTTAGTTCACGAAGGCAACACGAAACTTCGGCCATCACGCAATTACCTTCAGTCTGCTATACTGATCGTCCGAAAACAGTCGATTCTGGGATTATATCAAGGCGTCGTTCCAAATTTGCTTGGATCAACCATTTCATGGGGCCTGTACTTTTGGTTGTAATATCTGTGGATTCGAGTTTCACTTGATTTGTTGTATGAATTCATTATTTGTTTCAGCTACAATGTTTTTAACGACCTTATGAAGTTAAGAACGGAAGACAATCGTCTCACTCCGATGCATAGGATAGTTGCCGGCATGCTTGCAGGCAAGTGTTTAATGTGATCTGACTATAGTTCAGTTTTACGTTTCTTCGTTTTGACGATTTGTATCATTCTATATTTGCTAACTATGCAGTGGTGTCAGTTTCTACGCTAGAATATATTGATAAGCGAATAATCATTGAAAAAACTAGATTAGACGGTATCCTGAATGCCTCCCGCCCCGTTCCTAGAATTCTAGATTCAGTTCTGATTTCCACTGTTTGAATTCCTGTTGCGTTCGGTACATTTTGCATTGTTTTATTTCCAATTTCTTGCTCATCAAAAGTGCTTAACTCCCCCAAGCCCAAATTTCTTCGCCCTGGTACTCATACATGGTAGTCTTTAAACCAGGCTCAGAGCTCAGTGGTACGTAAATAGCTGCAGTGCGTGGTTTCGCACCATTTTATCGCTAAAGCAGCGCATTGTTTGTCACTAAGAAAGTTTAACGAGTTTTTAGTACATTAACATATACAAACAGGTTTTCAATATATTGTGAAACCATTTTAGGGGTTCCATTTTTTGAA